AACGTTATCAAATTTGGAAAAATTATAGTAACACAGTCGTCTTCAACACATCGTAATATACAATAAGTGGTACTGACTTTGCGTGCGTAAGGTGCGGCGGCGTTGTGGGCCGTGGTGCGGACGGTGGTGCGGATGGTAGTGCGGGTGGCCGGCGTCAGCGGTACGGGCGACGAGAAAACCGCCGGGACGACTGTCGCGCTGACGTGCGGTGATGGTTTCTCCGGCGTGCCTTCGGGCGGCGATCGCGACGACGACATCTCTTCCGGCAGCCGGCGCTGTCTAGCCCGCCGCTGACTGAACCTGATCAACGGACACCGGAATATTCCCATGACGACGGTGGCGGCGGTTCCAAGCGGATCAGTCTCCGGCGACGGCGGCGGCGGCGACGACGATGACGGTGGAGGTGGCGGCGGTCGCGTACCGGCGGCATTCAAAACGAACGCGGCGGAAACCTGCACGGGCAGCGGTGCCGGCGACAAACGCCGCCGACTTGATGATGGTAGTAACTATAGTGAGCGGTAATAGTTGTTGTTGTTGTCGTCGTACGGCGACAAGCGGTATCGAMAAACGACCGCAGCGGTGAGCGGAGAAATACGCGCGCGAAACATACGGTCCGCGGACGAGAACAGTACAACCGCGCGGTACGTATGGGAACCGGTACGCGGCGCACGACTATATTATTGTACGGGACACGCGTGTTGTACGGGCTTAGCAACGACGGTCCTGGCCGCCGCCGCCGCCGCCGACCGAGCCGACACCGGTCTCGCGCCCCACCGGTTACGGTTGCCGCCGCTTCGGGTGGGGCGCACGCACCGCATGTCGTTCAGGTGTGGAATTCCAATAATCCGGCAAGAATGCGCGGCGGTGGCGGCCGAGGGTCATCTGTGTGGAGCAAGGTTGGTTTGTGTGCGGTGCGTCCATGCGCCGTGTTTATGTCGTTTGCGGGCGTTGTTGTTATTATTGTTATTATCGATCGGCGCATACGTTGCGCTTTCGAAAGATCAGATCTCCCGACGATATTTTCATCGATCCGACGCCTTGCCACCCGAATCGACCAGAAAAGGCGAATACCMTTAACACACCTGTAAAGATATTTTACCAATGCGTGATTCCGATCTCGACTACAGACCCTATGTCAGCCGTCCACGGCAGTAATCACTGCTACTGCTCACGTCTTGCACGTTACGTCGACGGTTTCTGATCGTGTACTGGTCTCACCCACAATCAATACGGGCCGATAAACGTCAAAAGTCGTGTAATATTGTCATATTATTATGTCGTTCATATCGTTCAGATTCCATCAGATCTCCAAAAATGACATGAATTACAAAACTCGAGAACAGATCCAAGAACGCTGTGCGCATGTCTATATGAAAAATGATCACCCTTTCAAACAGGCAAATTAAATTTATCGAACGAATTTTTATATAAGATCTAAAACTACATTACTAACATTCGTTAATGGGATTCGTAATTTTATGTGGTCTCTTTTTTGACCATATTTACACCAACATATTTTGATTTTCAATACATTAATAACTTAAACGGTATAAGGTTTTGATGACTGTTTACGTTAATAAAATTAATTAAACAGTAATATGACGTGGTCAACAAGCACAGGAATTCAATTAAAATAAACCGTTTTTTGTTAATGGAAAACAAATATAGAGGAATGAATACCATATAAGTCATAACACAACACAAACGATATCATCARTTATTCACATTATCAATACAATTTTACGAGTTCACAAATATTATTCAAATATATAGGTACAAACAATAATAGCTTATGAAAATTAGAATCTATAGTATCTACATATCTTCGCCAAAATATATTTTATTTTAACGTTATCATAAATGAAATAATTAAAAAAATACTTTTCCTTAGCTATTAAAATATAACCATATAGACAATGTAAGTTCTTAACTTTTAAAATTTTGTTTCGATTTATGGTGCTCATGATTTTTTTTTCTTTATCAAAAAGCCTGAATATTATACTTAACTTTAACTAGTTTAGAAAAATAACGAACTTGCCTAGGTTTAGCTATTTCATGAAAACATACAATCCCATATACATCTACAAACATTTTAGTTTTACGTTATATATTAGGTATAGGTAAACATGAATTACTCCTAGGTACTTTAAAAACTAATAACTTTTAAGGGCTATAGATATAAATATAAATTATTAAAATAGTAAAAAATATCCATTCAAAAAATATATTTATTAAATGTTAAACATAAATCTTTTGAAAATTAATTTTTAGAGTTGTATTATAGTGTAACTAGGTACATCTGTATAGTTAGTATATATATGTAATATGTATCACTAATAAACATCCATAAAAACTGGTTTTTTCTTCATTCGTCATCGCAAAACTATTTCTAATTCTGAAAATAAAACTGATTTTTATTTGAAACACTAAAATGAGGTGTAAAATTTCTTTTTAACTTTTCATTAGACTTCAAACCAAAATGAACATATAATTTATTTGTTACTCAAGGACAAGCGTTTAAATACTGACGTATTATGTACATATATGTATAATATAAATACAAAACACAGAACGAAATGTTTGGTCTCCAACATTAACGAAATACGGCCTTCAAATACTCGGTAAGTTTTTTTGGCAAAGCATGTAGTACCTAGTCATTAAAAAAAAACATCGTAATGGAATCATAAAAATAATGACTAGTAAATTGCAACATCGAAAATTATCGTGTTTTTTTTTTCAGCAATATAATATAATACAATTAGCATAATACAGTAGTGAATGATGTATGAGTTTGAACTTGTTATAGTTCATCAGAGTATGCGCAAAACAAAACATATTATAAAGCATTGGGTATAATTCGAGAAAAAGTGACATATTATAATTTTATTATTTTTTTAAATCACGTAAAATGATATCGGTGTAGTATTCTCAAACAAAAAATTTTTTCTACATCGTTGTGTGATCTAAACATCAACCAGTCGAGCTTATCTGTAAAACGTTTCATATTTCATAAAAAAATCCGCCATAAGACTATATAACATCAAATATTATATAAATTTTTTCAGCTGAATATAGTTTAATATATTATGTTATTTAAGTTTTCTTAATATAACTAATATATACTCGACGAGAAAGTATACAAGATATCTACACCAATCTTCTTATAAGTAGATATTAACTTAGAATAAATATTCAAAATCAGAAATATGAATACTTCGTTAAAGATGATATAATTTATTTTCGATCAAAAGAAATGGCATAGGTAACAAGATATCAAAAAATGTAATCATATTTCGGTGACAATTGAGACTCAGAGCATTGAGTTTCATATATGCAAATTAAATACTTAATTCCCCATTAGCCACAACAGATGACCTACGCGTAGCCCCAGAAAAGGTTAAGTACCATTGACGTAACAAACTCTCATTAATATTTTAAACACATTAAATACTATACTATAGTAAGTAGATGCCTATAGTGTTATTGATGTTGATTTTTAAATAAATTGTTTCTTTAGAAAAAGTCATAAAACACATTAAGCATTAAATAATTAATTTTAAAAACAAAATTAACCAGTGAAACGTTTTGATGACATATAGATATATAATTTAATATCTATTATGAAATATGAAGTTAATTTTTATATCCAATGATACAATTTAAGTGTTTCCTAAACAATAACAACTTTGACAAATAATAGTCTTCGATGTTAAATTTTGATTTAGAAATGTGTACTCGAATTTATGTATATTTTGCGGTTCACTCGTTTTCGTTCAAAATATAAAAGAATGGAAATGAACACGTCCGCAATATTATCGTAGCACACATATAGAATACAACGGTTCGCTGGTCCTTGCTCCGGTTCGCTAACTTTCAAACACGTCATGCGATGGATCGCACATTTGCAAAATATATTCGTGTAATTTATGCGAGCTATATGATATAAATATAGCATCACAGTGACCAATATATTAATACCTGTTTAATATGAAATCAATTCAACAGTCCGTTTAACTCGATTAAAGATGAATAACAATTTTAGACATATACAAGTTAATACTCGAAAAAATAATGAAGAAAATATCGGATAAAAAGGTTTAAATTCAACATGAACTAGACATTTGTAAAAAAAATTATGATTTATATAACAACATGTACTATTTATAAAGAGATACTACTTACATGTGTACTGTGTAGTAGTATATATATAATATTATATATGACATAATATGCATATTGCATACGCTGTACGAGCTTGGTTTTAAGAAGGAAAAAAATCTCAAGAGTCTCAGCTCCTTAACACTTCAGGGTCTCTGGTGGTGACAATAATTTAGACTGATGTATTACAGATAAAATAATATATATTACCTTATACCTACCTCATTTGTATTGTTTATTATAATTTTTTTCATTTATTTATTTAAATAATCCAACCAATATCACATTAAAAATTTCTTAAGCACAATGTATCTGTGTAGGCTATTATAGCGAATAAATTGAGATTAAACGAAGTAAAATGTTAACAAGATATATTTATAGTAGCGTTGTCAAAATCCTTTATTGTCAGTATTGTCATTACTCATTCATCAAATACTTTTGTATGTTTTGCTTGCATAAGTAAATAAAAAAATATGACAAATGGTTCAATACTGTAATGTATACCATGCTTTTACATGCCTACCTATCAAGAATCAATTAAATAAGTATAATAATATTATTGTGTACCTTTCAATACCAAAAATATTGGCGGGAAACATAAACAGGTTTTCTTCAAGTATTTACACTTTATAGGTTTATACAAATATTTCTACGTGTTACTCAAACCAGTTTAGCAATCGACATTGTTATGAACGAGTTATTCATATTTCCAACAGAATGTACTTATTCAACTCAACCCTATAAAGCCATAAAGTTAATCTAATAAAAATTCGATGAAAATTCGAATACAATCAACCCGTTTAAAACGTATATTAAACTTTTGTATTATTTATATTACTTACCGGGTCGCCGAAAAAGCCTGTGGATTCCTTCATTCCATTAGGCCTCTGAGTGTCGTCTCTTCATGATTTCTGTAATAACAAAAATTAAATAATTATCAAATAGGTGTACCCAATTATTTTTACGACTCATAAAATAATTTTATTATGTAACTTATAAGTAGGTACCTATTCATATTTTTTTATTCGCAAACAATATATTTCATTCTGATAAACTATACTAATACGCCCAAAAACTGAACAAAAGCCAAGTTGGCCAAACGCCCATATATTTTACTATAATAACGGCTGCCTATAAAATGGAGAAAATATAAATTCCAACTTACGTACCAAAGATATTCAACGATCAATTAACGTCGAATGCAGTATACTTATAATATTAACTATTGATATGACATCCTGGGACACATAATATTAGTGACAGTTAACGCACTAAGGTGTTAATAACAACCATCAGAATAATTATAATAAGTCACTATAATACTAATTACATGATAGTATCTATATTGTTATACATTTCTGTACACACCCGCCCACCAACCCGTCTGACCGATACTGGAAAAAATCTATAAAACTTTTTACGTTACCAACATTTACATTAAACATATGCATAGATACATTGTGATTTGTGAACATAGGTATTTTTCGTCAAAATATATAACATGTGCTATAATATACATGCTCATTGTTCATGCCCTATTTTGCTACACTCAGTACAAACACTATATTGTTGGTTAATCGTTGTACTAGACTCCTCCCAACTGCGTAAAACATCCGTTAGAAATAAATTGATTTTTCACATAACGTTAATCTTTTATGCGATCAATATTTATTATTTACGTAAGAAAATGGTATAAATACTTAATACCTATCTCTGAACATACAGTGTATTGATAAGGTAATCCAATAAACAAGACAATAAGAAATAGTACTTCAAATTATTTAAAATAAATCCATAAGAATTAAAATTAAATTAATCGACATTACATGTTTAAAAATTATTGTTCACACTTGAGTAGGTTACTGCAGTTGTAGTAAGGAGTACAGTACACAACCGGGAACGGTAACTATAAACCACAAACAAGACACAGAAAGTAGATATTTGGCACTCATCATCTCATTTMTGTTAACAGTCATCTTGGAGAAAGGCAACAATGTGTTTTAAATTTAATGATTACAATTATTAATAATTGACTAAAATGGATCTAAATTTACAACTTGACTTCTACTACTATAGGTACTTATATTTTGTTTAAGCACTTTTATTATTCTACTAATAGCCTTATAAAAGTTGACCTATTAACTAAAATATTTATATAATTATACATATAGCTTTGTATATAAAATATATGAATTTATGTTTTTAGAAAATGTTTTTAAAACTCAATCAAAAAGAACATTTGTTTGAAGGGTTCTTATTACATCTTAAGTCTAACAAAAAAAAACATTAATCACTTAATTGACGCACGTATATGCGTGACTATATTGTCTAATTGAACACCGCAGTCATTAAATCTTGAATTTTTTTTCTAATAACGTTTTCTTTTTAACTTAGACGCAATTTTTAAAACAAACAGATTTGTAATGTATAATTAATAAAACGAAATAATAAATAGTATTTTAAGCTACTATCTATTATATAGGAGCCCTACTCAAATTAACCACACGGTTTTCAATCAAAAATCACAAATTTTAAAATATGGATAAAAATATGTAAATATTCCAATCAATAGATACCTACTTTGCATTACCAATACCTTGATATTTTGCCAAAAACATTTTTCTACTAACAATATAAATAAAAATTATAAAAAACAAGAAAAATTAAATTTCATGTTATCTTAAACAAATAAATAATTAAATAATTATACATAATAATATGTAGGTAAACATAATTTTATTCAATATTTTAAGTTACTGATATATATCTAAGTAGTTTTACCATATTCATACAATACATTATAAAATAATAAGAGTGAAGTTTCTTTTAAATACATTTTGAAGACAAAACAAAAACGAGAATAGTAATTTTGAATACTTAGGTGCGTTATTTCTGCATGAATATAAATAAAAAATCACTCTGCTAAATACTATAGGTGTCGAGTGCTCGAAAGTACCTACTTTTCGCCAACAACTATGTCACTAGTAATGGATGTGTTAAATTTGAAATCAATAATAAATCATTAAATAATAATTAATATGATATAAAACGATTCTCAGATATTGTTTTTAATGATATTTTATGGTATATTGCCTAATTTATTTTTCTATTAGTTTATGGTAGGTATGTTGAACTAAATTTTTCCAAAAACCAATCTCTAACTGTTATTAGTTCAAGTCAATACCAATGTACCATAGAACGAAGTGACAACTGAATAGGTTTACTATAAGGATAAAATATAAATGGCACTAATTTAATTTAGTGTTTAAAAAAATTTGTTATTTATAGTAAATAATAATGATAATAATTTACATAGAAACGCAAAGTATCACAAGTCCTTAAGAATAATATTTATGAATTACAATAAAATAATCAAGCGTGGACGTCCCCACGACTTGTTGCTATAACGCCTATAACTAATTTATTTAATTTAATTTAATTTAATAAGAAATTATAATATTATAATATTATTATAATATTACATATATGTAGTCATTTGTATCTTATATCACTAATGTATTTTTTTTTAATTGTTATTTATTTTCTAAATGTT